CCAAGAAGCTAGTTCACTTTCACGCGCCGCAGAGCCACACTTTTAAGCACTGCAGTGCTGGATGCCTTTTGTATTTTTCTATAGATAGATGTTATGTTCTGTTTGTAAAGGAGTTCAATCACTTGTGTAAAATTTAATATTTTTTAGTGTGCTTTTCTAGTACCCTCTTAGAGTAAAGTTTAAGGGAGACTAAGGAAGGATAAAATATAATCTTTTGGAGTGTTTAATCTATGTTTAGTTTAAACAACTCTAGAAGTGAGGAAGAAGAAGTGTAGAGGAGAAACTTTGATCCTACTTGGTGATAACATTCTATTATTTCTCTTGTACTTTTATTTTTCTATGAATATAATAAAAATGAGTTTGCTTAACATTTATTTTATTATTTTGAATTGATTATCTGAAGAGCATATTAAAATACTAATGAAGACTCTTATTCTTAAAGATTTAATGTTATTTTCAATTATATTTTGTTCTTCATTTAATATACATAGTGGCCAATATACAGTTAAAACTTAATATAATGTATAGCCTTGATGGAGAAATGCAATAACAATAAGGAATAATAAAATAGAATGTTGACATACCTAAACATAAGATGTTTGAATATTCTAGGTTCTTAAGGAGATATTATAACTGTAGGAGGTTAGCATTCACCCCTATAAGCTCGATAGAGAACCAGAGATGTACTTGCTCTAAATCACATCTACAATAAAGAGTATCATTAGAAAAAAATATGATATTTGTATTCATCAGTACAAAATATTTCATTAAACATTATATCAACTATTGTACTTTTTTTATCAAGTGATAGAAACTTCAAAAATATTAATTTTATTTTAGTAGGATAAATTATGCATTGAAACTAAGCAATAATAATTTTGTTACAAGTAAGCATAATACTTTCTCATGAGTTTGAAGCTTTGCTTAAGCACTTTATTACTTAATTAAGCACTTATGCTTATGTAAATTTAAGTTAGGTTCAATATTAATATATCAAGAAAAATATAAACATTACTCAAAATTGACATGCACAAGCATTCATTGCATAGTCTGTAACAAAGTTTTGCTTTCCTACACGCACAAGTTCACGTGCACGTACGCATCCCACATCAGTATGCAATTGGGGGCAGACAGTGGACAACTTGATGGAGGGGATTGAACATTGTGTTAATTGCAATGGTCTAACGTCATTCTCATGGTGTAAATTTAGCGGAGACCTAATGGTCTAGCGATGATTTATAATAAGATTTATTTATTGAATGATGTGCAGATTATTTCCCCAAAAAGGCCTGACTGGGCATGTGTTCCTCCACCAGAATTCATTACGGTGTATAAGATGATGTTGAAGAAAGCACTTTACTTTATACAATTTTAATTTCAGCTCCTTATATCAATATTTTAGATGAAGAAGATTGTATGCTGGAATATGAAGTAGAATTTTTGAAGACCAACAATTGTGATAGAAGTCTGATCTCTTTCATCATAGGTTGATAAAAAAAAGCTTTGAATATACTTGCAAGAGATAAGAGCGCACTTCATGCTGATAAAAAAACTCGATGAACTATTTGATGCTCCAAAGTCTTGAGGATGGCTTTATTTGTGGCTTCTTGGAAGAGATTGATTGATATAACATAAGGCTGAGGTTATAGTTGACAGGCTAACTCTTAGATGAACTAACTCCTAGCCAAGCATCTGAAGATTGTCCCCCAAATTCAGGAGATGATAATATTGAAAATGAGTTGAAAAAAATGTTTTCAAGTGATAATGAAAATGCTGAGATTATGTAAAATTATTATTATTAAATAATTTTTATCATCTCTTTTTATCTAAGAAATTTTTATATGAGATTGATGTTTATTTTAAGTAATGAAGACTTATCTTTATATATGAACAAAGTTCCTTATGCATTGTTTATATATGCTTTGATTTATTGCTCTCAAGTTAGAATAACTAGAATAGAGAAATTTATTCATTCTATAGGATTTAACCTTTTGAAACTTTTAAAGAGTCAAAGAAATATATATCTTTTGAGACTTTTAATCCTATGAGATTTTTATGTACCTACACCTTTTGAGACTTTTAGGCTTTTAAGGATTTTAATGTACTAGTGTCTTTTAGGGCTTTTAACTTTCTAAGATCTTTAAAATAATTGTGTGTTTTTTTAAAAAAAAAAATTAGCCTTCTAAGGTCTTTGATGTGTTTGTGCCTTTTGAGGCTTTTAGCCTTATAAGGTTTTGGATGTGTATGTGTCTTTTGAAGCTTTTAGCCTTCTAAGATCTTTAATTTACCAGTGTCTTTTGAGGATTTTAGCCTTCAGAAATTTTTGGATAATCTTATACCTTATGAGGCTTTTGCCTTTTGAGATTTTAGGCGTACATATCTTTTGAGACTTTTAACCTTTAATATTTTTTGTACACGTGTTCCTTTTGAGACCTTTACCCTTTAAGGTTTTTAAATAGACCTGGACCTTCTGAGGCTATTACCTTATACAACCTTTAAATGAGTTGTGACCATGTTATCTACCTTCTCTCAAGGAGTCTTTCTAGTGAGGATTAATCCACCACTAGCTTCCCTTTGAGGCTACCTCACAGACATCCCTTTTTGGGGTTATGAATGAAGACCCTCTTTACCACATTCCCTTATGGGATCTTTCTAGTGATCGAGGATCTTGCCCACTACTAGCTTCCTTCAAGACTACCTTATGAGTTTGCCTTCCTAGGGTTATTTATTTGTACATTATTTGATGGTGTTAACTTGCATTGAAAAGAATACAAAACTATAAGGGACATTTGATTTATCCAAGGTTATTTGTTAGAGCGTTACTCAATGATGTTAACATGTGTAGATGAGGGCGAAAGAATCCACCAATGATGTTTGACCTATCCAATATTGTTTGTTAGAGTATTGTTGATGACATGCATTAACTTATATGAAAGAGGTCAAAAGATTCCACCAAAGATGTTTGACATATTCGAGGTTGTCAAAGCGTTTCTCAATGACATTAATCTGTATGGAAGAGATCAAGAAAAATCGATCAAGGATATTTGACCTATCTAAGATTTTTAACCTATCTTTGTACCATTGTTGTCTTTTAAGGCCAATATTAAGACTTTTCCCAAAAAGTAGAAGCTTAGTTGAGGATCAACTATACAAAACTTGAAATTTACTTAAAGTATCCTTGTATTTGTTGAGAGTTTTATTAAAAATGGTTGATAGTGACATTATCTTAGAAGTTGAAAATATTAGAAGAAATTTTCTTGGCCACAGGTATATTTGAGGCTTCAGCAAAAGTTATCCGCATATCCAAGTCTGCTTCAATGAAATTGATGAATCAATAACTAATGCTTGAGTACTAATAAAATGATGTATAAAATTGCCCTCTATATTGAAGGACTTTCTTTGGACCTAATAATAGGTTATGACAAAGGGGCTATCTTGCTTCAACCATGCCCAGGTTGTTAACAGGAATGGCCTTTCGAGATTGCACTAAAAGTTGCCCCCAATTAGGGCTCATTTCCCACAGATGCCGCCAAACTATTTCATGCTAAAAAAATTGAGTTGATGGAATTTATGTTTTATGTCTTATTAGCGTGTAAAGATTCAGCATGAATATATAAAAATGATAAGACTAGAAGATTTTTTACGTGGAATATCCAGAAAGAGAAAAAACTACATGGCCTGGCCAAATTGAAAAATTCACTATGTATTAAGTGACATAAAAATTCTCCTTTCTCCATTGTTGAAGAAGAGGAAGAGTACAAAGATCAAATGTCAATAGATGGATGATCTGTGCCCAACAATAAGACTTCATTTTCTCAAGATAGATTTTTAAAAATTGATGTCCATAGGAGGATAAATATACCCAACAAAGGGTCAAATCTTGTCAGTATTCTCGAGATGAAGGTGATTTTTTATGTCGATGGTCGTCAATGGCAGTAATTGGTGGTCATCGAGGTGATGATGGTTGGAAAATGCTAGAGATTGAGCTCTCTTATTCTCCTTTTTTTCCTTTTTTGCTCCATCTCATGTGAAGAATGAGAGCCTAGCTATTTATAGCTTTTTGGAAATGACATGCTCCGTAAATATGGAAAAAAATTCAGAAAAATTAGGAGCGCTATATCAGATGGTCAATATGGATTTCTTTGATCATAGTGCTTTCATCAAGCATTTAAGTGTCTTAATGATGTCAAAATCAAGTGATCTTGAGTTCTTTGGATTTGTCTCGTCGAGCTGCTCGATTCTACAATAAATATGTCATATTTGAAAATCATTTGGTTACTAAATTAAAGCTTTTAAGCTTCCATGTATGCTTTAGCTATTTGATTCGAACCCATTTGGATCAAGATTGGACCGATTTGGTAAGTGCAGCTTTGAGAGCCTTTTCGATATATATATATATCACAATTCACAAGAGAGAGAAAGAGAGAGAGTGAGAGAGAACGTGAGTACACCTTGTCGTGCAGCGGGGGTAACGAGTGGTTCACTGGTGCTATGCTCATGATATTACTAATTAATTCTGTGTGGATTTTGGACTATTTTTTTATTCTCGACCGGCTATTGCCGATCTATCGTATTTTCAATTAATTTTTTGAAAAGAGCTTCAAGTCATATAAATATGAACAATATACAGCAGTAATTGGTTAAAACTGCTCATTTCTGACTTTATGCATGCAACATGCTTTTTTAACCAAAAAAAAGGCAAACTTGCAGATGAATGATATGGTTGTTAACTTGTTATTATAAAAAAAATAAAGGAATGCAGCTATTTCTCATTAATTTACATATCTTAGATTAAATAATGAATTAAAAAAAAAAGTTTATTTTTGTGAATATGGGAAGCGCAGCTCCTGTTATTAATTCTAGACTTTGACATTCATCTCGAGCCAGCAGCTACCCTCCTGTACATCATATATTCATATTTATACATTTGCAGTTTGATAGATGGAGTCTATTAATCCCTGCTTAAAATTCTTGTTAATGACAAGGTGGTCAACGCTCCATTTTCGGGAGGAGGATGCAGTGGCCGCTGCAGCGGTGATATATGAAAAGAGCAGAGGGACATGGCAGTGGACCAGGGCAATGGTTGTGCTTCCGGCGATTAAGGTCATGATTTGGCTTTGCTTGGCAATGTCGCTGATGCTCGTCGTGGAGAAGTTGTCCATGGCCGTCACCGTCTTGTGCGTTAAGCTCTACCGGCCACTAAGGCCGCACCGAGTCTACAGGTGGGAGCCACTTCCAGCGATCGCCGGAGACGATGATCCCGAACTTGGCTCTTATGTTTATCCCGCTGTCCTTGTCCAGATTCCAATGTTCAATGAACGAGAGGTGATCATTTTTCCAAATCCAAATCCAAAAAAAAAACAAAAAACTAGGCTTGGCTCACTGCAATGTCCCTCTCCTCTGCTCTTATATATATATACATATAAGAGCAGAGGAACATTGCATTAAGCCAAGTTTTTTTTTTTTTTTTTCCTGATGACTGCCAAATTCACTTAGATGACCAGCCAATGAAAATCTGAAATAAAGAGCTACCGTATTACTTTGCCGGCTCCAGAGAGATTTTTTATGAGCCTGTTAATTGATTTGATTTATTTAGCTCTTTTATGATGCGCACAGGTTTATCATTTATCCATTGGAGCAGCATGCGCACTCACATGGCCATCCGATCGCCTAATAATACAAGTTCTTGATGATTCAACTGACAAAACAATTAGGGTTGGATGGATCGATCATCTACATCACAACCTTCTTTAATCATTTCCTACTTATAAAATGAATAAAGCTAATTGACAGGACCTTAATAATTAATTATGATTGCAAGAAGATGACGATGTTGATGATGACATATCCAATTCTTATGCAGGATTTAGTACAAGCGGAATGTGAAAGATGGACTAAAAAGGGAGTGAGCATACACTACATTTCAAGGGACAATAGAAATGGATATAAATCTGGCGCTCTAAGAGAGGCAATGGATTTTGATTATGTCAAGACCTGTGATTTTGTTGCTATTTTTGATGCTGATCACCAACCACCCTCCGATTTTCTAATGCAAACCATCCCTTTTCTTATTCATAATCCGGATCTTGCTCTGGTCCAAGCTCGTTGGAAATTCGGTAAAATTTTGTTTGTTTTATTTTATTTTATTTCAGTGTGCGTGTCATTTAAATTAATGTACATTGCAGTAAATGCTGATGAATGCTTGATGACGAGGATTCAAGAAATGTCCTTAAATTATCATTTCGTAGTGGAGCAGGAGTCGGGTTCTTCGACGATAGCATTTTTTGGATTTAACGGTAAAATCATCATCTTAATATTATATTCAAGGATTTAGCTAAAAATTAATTAATGGCTGTAAAGCTAATCACTGGTAGGTACTGCTGGTGTTTGGCGAATCTCTGCTGTTGATGAAGCTAAAGGATGGAAAGATCGAACAACTGTGGAGGATATGGATCTAGCAGTCAGAGCATGTTTGGAGGGCTGGAAATTTGTCTATGTTGGTGACCTTAACGTATGCCTATGCTTTTTGTCTAATATCAAGTTAATAGTTATATTTTTGAAACTATATTTCAGCATTAATTACATGAGATTAAAAAAAAAAAAAAAAACATATATATAGGTGTCTAATTGGAGAAAAGAAGAAGGAAAAAAGAATGTTGATCTGTTATCCCTGTTTTCTGTAATTGCGTTTAGGTTAGAAGTGAACTGCCAAGCACTTATAAAGCATATCGCTATCAACAGCATCGTTGGGCCTGCGGACCTGCATGTTTGTTCAGAAAAATGGCCTCTGAAATTATGAGAGCCAAGGTCTATTTCCTTCCAATCATTACAAAATTAGTAACAGTTCAAATATTGCCAGCATGGCTAGGTCTTAATTTGTTTGATAAGAAATTGTGAAATGAAGCTGAAATGGTTTTTTTTTCCCGATGTTGAAAAACAGAAAGCATCAATATGGAGGAAGTTGTTTTTGATCTACAACTTCTTTTTCGCAAGAAGAATCGTGTCTCACATTGTTACCTTCTTCTTCTACTGTGTGATCATACCGTTATCTGTTTTCTTTCCTGAAGTGAAAGTTCCAGTTTGGGGTGTGGTTCTTATTCCATCGATAATTACATTCTTGAATGCCATCGGGACGCCAAGGTTATTTAATTACTAGCTACTATTTATTTTAAATCAAATGACAAGGGTGATTTTTTTTTTTGCTTATTATAAAACACTTGTTGCAGCTCCATGCATTTGATGCTTATATGGATATTTTTCGAGAATGTAATGTCATTGCACAGATGCAAGGCGGTCTTCATCGGTCTATTGGAAGCTGGGAGGGTGAATGAATGGATTGTTACTGAGAAACTCGGCAACATGTTGCAGATGAAGCAAATGCCCTCTGTTGCGGCCAGCAAATTCTGGGAGAGGTAATTAATCACATATAATTTATGTTTTCCCTTTAAAAAAATAAAAATAAAAAATGAAGCGACGTTGAAAGATGCATTAATGAATATGAATAATACGCAGATTTCATTTCATGGAGATAGGGGTTGGAATATGGCTATTGATCTGCGCATGGCAGGACTTCAAGTACAGAACAGAGCAGTACTACATATTTATCTTCCCTTCATCACTAGCATTTATTATCATGGGATGCGGCTACGTTGGAAGATGATATACAAATCCTAATATCATTCCATTTTATGATGGTCATGGATCTGGTGCCAACTGTAATTCTTTGCAGCATTCCGTTTCATTTTTCTCTGAGAGTATACTTCAGTTATTTAATGGAGAGCATTTTATATAGAGAGTACAAAAAGGGAGCATGTTAATTGAATCTATCCGCTGTAATTTTTATTAGTTTTTTTTTGGAACAGAGAATCTATTCACTGTCACTCTAAAAAGAGTGCTTGGCGGCATGGCGTAACTAATTCTTTGGCGGAATCTGGCGAGGCCACCCACTGGCATCTGACCCACACTTGCTTTGCCCAATTGAAGAGGCGAAGCCGTAGTATAGAGGATTCTAACCCAGGATGAGGGGTTCCCAACCGTGCTCGCCCACTAACCACATTAAGCCTCTTTTATTAGTTATGCTCTTGTTTTCTCGAGCTTCTTCTTCTTATATTGACTAAATTGTGGTTCATCTGGCTTCTTGTAAATCGTCCCCATATGCTTATTCAAGGTTATAGAAGTTAAGATGATCATCTCCTTTGTTATTAAAAATTAATTGAGAGCTGCAATTGGTCCTTCACCCAATTCTATGGATCTTTTCTAGACAAAAAAAAAAAAAAAAGAAGAAACAGAGAGCACAGTACGGGTTGATTTCATGCTTAAAACCTCTAATCTGATTGTGAATCGGGTTGGAAATGACAACGAGAAAGATGCTTGGCCAAACCCGAACCATAAAAATCTTAATGTTCTTCTTTATTTGGGGTCGTATGATATGATTGATTAGGATGCATTCTTAGGGAAATTTTGTTACGTCTTTATTACTTTCTTGTTTAATTTTTCACTTATCTTTATGCCTATGTTTTTAATAAGTGCTTCAATACATCTATAGCTAATTAAATAAATTTGTTTATACATGCAAACGATAAACCTAACTAAAGTATAACATTTATTAGTACATTCTATATCAAGATCTAATATATATGCCACTAACCTAAAATAGAGTTTAAGTTCCCCTTTATTGATGAGAACATAATTATTGATACGTCATCAGAATTATCTTGATCAAGCACGAATCTCAAGGCATATTTGAGTTGGCAACTTTCAAAATTAAGTTCAAGACTGTACGAACTCCAATTTCAGCAAACTTATATTTATATTGAACATCTCGAGGAGACAAACACAATGTCACCAAAATCAGTTCAATCCGAACACAAATGAGTCCAAATCAAGGGGTCGAAGTATATTTGGAAGGTTCAAAGCATTAATGGAATGACCAAGTTATCTTTAAATATGGAACGCTTATAATCAAATCGAGCGGCTCTACGAGACGAATCCAAGGAGCACACAATCGTTTATTTCTGACATCATTGAGGCACAAAAATGCTAGGAAAATGCTTCATTATTGAGGGAATCAGTATGGGTTGTCCGATGGAGCACTCCGAACTTGTCCCGGATATTCTCTATATTTACAGGGAAAATCTATCAATAGGCTCATGCACTCTTCATGAAAGGATCCTTTTAGCTGGAGATTGGAGAGAACTCTGAGGTTCAACAATCCTAGAGTTTCACCCAAGCACCACCACAGATGAACTTCCATTTGCCGACTACCACTAGACCTTCGCCCGATCACATACTGCTATCGGACCTCCACCCGGCCACCTACAGCAATTGGACCTCTGCTCGTTTACCGACTGCCGTCGGAGCTCCGCACAACCGCCAACCATCATCAGACCATCACCCGTCTTCCGATCATCGTCGAACCTCTACCCGTCCGCAGACCACTGCCAAACCTCCACCCGGTTACCATCGACACACCACTCTGACCACTGTCGCTCGTCGGCTAAGGTCTTACCAACCATCGTCACCCATCAACTATGGCCCCTCAAACAACTGTCACCTGCCGACTACAGTCCCACTGACCAACATTGCTTGACTACGGTCTTTCCGACCTCGTCGCTCACTAACTACGGTCCCTCAAGTCACCATCGCCCATTGACTATGGTCCTTCCATCCTCTATCACCCACCGACTACATTCTCTCCAACCATCATCACCAATTGAATATGGTCTCTCTAACCTCCGAAGCCTGCCAACTATGTTCCCTAAGACCGTTCCCACCGACTAGGATTTTTCTGATCACCATCTCCCACTGACTATGTTCCCTCCGACTATAATAGTTTATATTTTAATAGAGTCAAATAATTTTTTTCAGAAGTCATTATAAGTTTAAATCATAAATTATTTTTATCATAATATAGATATTGTAGTGATTTATTTACACAAATTTTCATAATTTTTAGGCACTGGTGTAAGCTGATGTTAGCTGAAGAATAATTGACCTAAACAGAATGGTTGACTGACGCGCGTTCATTTAAATATGTGGTTTAATGTTATCATCGACTGATTCATATGATATACTGATTGGAAGTTATAAGGAGATGATTATTATGTGGACGGACAAAGCGTAACGACTCTATTTACTAACCCAACAACTTACTGATATTGGTACAATATAAAAAATACCAATTACTCCAGGATTTCTTACTTGTTCAGTGTGACTACTGAAATGCATATTTTTGAGGCATTGTTCCTATTACTGTATAAATTTATTATTACTACACATATTTACTATTACTACATTTTTTTACTACTCATGTTGTTGATTTTATTCTTATCAATATGGACATCGATCCTATTTAATACTACTACTAATTTATTATACTGATATTAAATATGTGATATACTGAGCACGTGATATACTGAGCATGTGATTAAGATGATGATATGATACTGACATCAAATAATTATATATCATGTGTACATAATTATAGGATTTTATTGTATTAATTTGAATTTGATAGTTCTTTATCGATGCTTTTATTTTACTGCTTTATATGATTGATTTACTAATTGATAGTACTGATATGATAATTGATTTATTAATTAGACACCCATACTAATTTACTTATTTCCCCATTGTACTGTTTTATTGGCTTCAATACCATACTATTTTATTTTATAAATTATACTACTATTGCATGTGATCTTTATTATTTATGCACTGATTCATGGTCATGTGATTACTATTACTACGATTAAACTGCTAACATGCATATTTCTTCTTTGTCGTGCATTGAGTTTAATAGTAAGATTTGGTTACTTGTTGGGCTCTTGAGCTCATTATATGTGATTATCAATTTTAGGTTAGGACAAGGGAGCATGAGCGTGAGATTGACCAGAATCTTTAAGGTTTAGTTTCTTATTATTTTAGCTATTCTTTTGTGCTTATGATAGAATAAATATATTATGATTGTATAGATCCTAAGTAGTATATATGAAATGAATTATTTTAGCTATTCTTTTGTGCTTACAATAGAATAAATATATTATGATTGTATAGATCCTAAGTAGTATATATGAAATGAATTATTTTAGCTATTCTTTTGTGCTTACAATTATATATATATATATATATAATGATTCTTTTATCTTTTAATATACAACAAATAGAGCTATCTAAATTTATTTATCAATAATAAAATCAAATATCAATGAAAGAAAATCATATTAATCAAAACTTACATATGCATATCTATTTATTTCTCTAAGATCATATATAATACTCAAGAATCATACAAATATAATCTATCATTTCAGTCTTGAGTATAAAAGAATAACTACAAATAGAAAAAAAAAACTAATAGTAAATTTGGAGAAACCTAATCAACCTCACATTCTTAATCTCCTACCTTGACCTGAAATCATTTAAATCACATATATTAAGATAAATAGCCAAGCATGTCATCAAATCCCATAACTAAAATCAAAGCATAATAAAGGAGTAATATGCATATCAATAGTTAAATCATAATAATACCATCAATAGAAGATATTGAATTTTGAATGATTTTTCATGTATATAATCAAGTAATTTTTATCTAAGCATACTATTAATACAAGTATTATAAATGAATATAGAAATGTGGTTGAGTAATACCTGGTCTCTATTACTATTAAAAAAATATGATATTAATATATATGAAAAATAAGTAAAATGCAAGTTTCACTAATGTTGGTTGGAGACTGACTAACTTGTATATTATGGTGGGCCGACGAGCTTTCTTTTAAATATGTGGTTTGGTAATATCCTAGATTTATTCATATGATATTAATTGAAAGTTATAAGGAGATGATTGATGTACCAACAAATAGAGCTATCTAAATTTATTTATCAATAATAAAATCAAATATCAATGAAAGAAAATCATATTAATCAAAACTTACATATGCATATCTATTTATTTCTCTAAGATCATATATAATACTCAAGAATCATACAAATATAATCTATCATTTCAGTCTTGAGTATAAAAGAATAACTACAAATAGAAAAAAAAAACTAATAGTAAATTTGGAGAAACCTAATCAACCTCACATTCTTAATCTCCTACCTTGACCTGAAATCATTTAAATCACATATATTAAGATAAATAGCCAAGCATGTCATCAAATCCCATAACTAAAATCAAAGCATAATAAAGGAGTAATATGCATATCAATAGTTAAATCATAATAATACCATCAATAGAAGATATTGAATTTTGAATGATTTTTCATGTATATAATCAAGTAATTTTTATCTAAGCATACTATTAATACAAGTATTATAAATGAATATAGAAATGTGGTTGAGTAATACCTGGTCTCTATTACTATTAAAAAAATATGATATTAATATATGTGAAAAATAAGTAAAATGCAAGTTTCACTAATGTTGGTTGGAGACTGACTAACTTGTATATTATGGTGGGCCGACGAGCTTTCTTTTAAATATGTGGTTTGGTAATATCCTAGATTTATTCATATGATATTAATTGAAAGTTATAAAGAGATGATTGATGTACCAACGGGCAACGAGTGACTACTCTATTTATTGATGTAATGGTTTACTGATATTGGAACGATACTTGGAAAAATACTTATTAAGCTAGGATTTTTTATTTGTTTAGTGTGACTACTAAAATATATATTCTTGAGGCATGGATCCTATTATTATATGAATTTACTGTTACTGCTACAAATTTACTAATACCAATACAGATACAGAAATTATTATCGATGATATTTTTTACTAATTTACTATACTTCA